CTAGTTTTTCTTTGGGACCCACACCTTACCTAGAAAAAAAAAAGAGAGAAAAGAAAAAAACCATGTCTGAAAATACCAAAGAATACCCCATCAAGACAATTGTAATCCTAGTTCAAGAAAACAGATCATTCGATCATATGCTGGGATGGATGAAGTCAATCAACCCGGAAATCGATGGCGTAACGGGAAAAGAATCGAACCCTTTATCCGCAACGGATCCCACTTCAACTCGGCTCCACTACAGCCACCAATCGGCCAACGTCCAACCCGATCCCGGCCATTCATTCGAAGCAACATACGAGCAAATCTACGGCGTCAAATGGACCGAAGAATCAGCTTCATCCAACGACTTAGCTCCGACGATGGAAGGCTTCGCTCAACAAGCGGAGAGCATAAATAAAGGGATGGCAGATGTAGTGATGACGGGGTTCAAACCGGAATCTTTACCCGTGTATAAAGAACTGATAACCGAGTTTGCTGTTTGCGACAGATGGTTTTCTTCGATACCTACTTTGACTCAGCCGAACAGGCTTTTCATCCACTCTGCGACTTCTTATGGTGCGACTGCGAACGACACGAAGACGATGGTGAAAGGCTATCCGCAAAAGACGATCTTTGAGTCGGTCGATGAAGGTGGTTTCGAGTTCGGGATTTATTACCAGTACCCTCCCTCAACTCTCTTGTACAGGTACCACGATTCGTATGTATGTTCTTACATATTTTGTTTTGATGTATATTGACTTTCGATCATGCATACATTGTCTTCATATATATATTGATTTTCGATATTTTTTTTTTTATAGAAATTTTGTGACTGTTTAATCATGTGATTGCATCTAATGATATTTGTCTGAAATTGTAATATCTTATTTAGTAGGTACAAAACAATCATTTCTTAATTTGTTAATTAATTATGTTTTTGGTAATAATTACCCAGAATAATTTAGTGGTTAATAATATTTGATTAAGCCTTAAGCTTCATCGTTTTTCGTGCCTAAACAAAGATTTAAAATTCTTAAACTTGTCGTTATCATCGTTAACGAGGCATTAAAATATTTAATCCTATGTAATTAGCTCATAGATTAGTTAAGATTATCTGCTCTAATTAGCTGTCACACTCACATATTCAAAGCCATCAATCATGACCATCTGATGGCTTTTACTGTTCTTTTATTAATTTTCATAGTCTTTAATTAATTAATTAATTATCTAAAAAAATCGCAACATTTATAATTTATATTTACATATTTATTAAATTTCTAATTAAATTTGAAAAAATAAAAATCCAGAAATCTGAGAAAATTGAAGTACGTAAGAAAGTTCCACCAGTTCGATCTACACTTCAAGAAACACTGCAAGGAAGGGAAGCTACCGAACTACGTAGTAATCGAACAAAGATATTTCGAGACAAAAAAAATCCCAGGAAACGACGACCACCCGCCACACGACATATCAGAGGGTCAGAATTTCATCAAGGAAGTCTACGAGGCGTTGAGATCGAGCCCCCAGTGGAACGAAATATTATTCGTTATATTGTACGACGAGCACGGTGGATTTTACGATCACGTCCCTACCCCAGTGACAGGTGTCCCTAGCCCAGATGGCATTGTGGGCCCCGATCCTTATAAGTTCAAATTCGACCGCCTCGGTGTGAGGGTTCCCGCCATCTTGATTTCTCCTTGGATTGAACCTGGAACAGGTTTGTCGAGAATTTTTTATCGACTACTAATTTTTTTTTAATTAGTACTTATGTTTGTGACGTAAATGGTGATTTTATTTATTTATTTTTTTTTTTTTTTTTTCTTAATGTAGTGCTGCATGGACCGTCTGGGCCGTATCCCACGTCAGAATTTGAGCATTCTTCAATTCCGGCAACAGTTAAGAAGATTTTCAATTTGAAAGATTTTTTAACGAAACGCGACGCGTGGGCGGGTACATTTGAATGTGTCTTAACCAGGACTACTCCAAGAACTGATTGCCCTGGTAATTACTAATTTAATTTAATTTAATTTAATTTAAGTTTTTTGATTAGAACAATTTAAGGCCTTGTTTGGTTATTGGGAGATTAAATATCGAATGCAAATACATTATACATCGTCTTGTGGAAATTTCACTTTTTACGAAATTATTTTGATACATCTAAAATAACTCAAACCACTTTTCGAATAAATTATTGATATGCTAATATCGTAAATTAGTATTTAACGAGCGGCCATTTATTGCAGTTACTTTGACGGAAGCTCCGAAAATGAGGGAAACTGAGGCGAACGAAGAAGCGAAGCTGACAGAATTTCAAGAAGAGATAGTGCAGTTGTGTGCAGTATTAAAAGGTGACTACCATACAGAAGAAGATTTTCCCCACGATATATTGAAAAAAGACATGAACGTCGTCGAGGCCGTTGATTACATGGGAGGGGCGTTTCGGAAATTCTTGGACGATTGCGATAGTGCAGTTAAAAACGGAGCTGACGAATCCCACATTGTTTGTGATCATGCAGAGCAGCCTAATCGAAAACGACTTGGAAAGTCGTTTTCGAGCAAAGTGTTTTCGTGCTTGACTTGCGTTCAAGATTAATTATGTCTTTTTTTTTTCGATTGAAATTGTTTCATCCAATTTGAATTTTCTTACACTTGTGTTGCTTGTGTGTATTTTTAATTATTTGATATCTTTTTTTAATTCAAGAATTTGGTTGTAATTTGTTTGTGAAGCGGATTGTAATTTGTTGTATGTGTCATATGCTAATATGAATAAGTGAAAACTTCATTTTTCTTTTGTTGTGGAATAAAAGCATATTTGTAACTTGTGTGTAAATTTAAGGGTAAATAGCACTTAACCCCTGTGGTTTGAGCTATTTGCAAATGACCCCCTTGCACTTACAATGTAAGCAGTTAAGCACACATGACCATCGTGTAGTTTGAACTTTGTGCACATAACTCCTTTGTACTTTTAAAGTTAGCACATAATCTCTCTATATTATTTTACTTGATAAATAATCATGCTCATTAGAACGAAGAAACTACAAGGGGGTTTATGTGCTTATATTAAAATACAAGGGAGGCATTTGCTATATTAAAAGGATAAGGGGGTCATGTGCATAAAGTGAAAATCAAGGGGTAAATGCTATTTAACCAAAATTTAATAAAGATAAATTAAATGTATGTTTATACTTTAGTGTGTGAAGATTGAAGAGTGTTGAGTATTGAATTAACTTTTGGCATTTCAAAAACAATAGTTACAATTAGTTACAACATTCTTAATAGTTAATAAACTAATAAACAAATTTATATATGAAAGACAAAAAATGTTAAATTAATCGGTTTATAGACTATAGCTAATTAATGAAAGTATTTGTAAATCATTACTACACCTAATTTTGGTGCAGACCATGGTACTTTTATAGCTAAATTTTCGTATGCAGTAATATTTTAGGGTAAATTACGACTATCCCAGAAGTAAGGTCTATTAATGAAAAGAAATGTCTCATTTTCCCAAATTAAATCCACTGTTGAAATTTTATAGATTTTTTACATTAACACTCTCTTGTATGGGGTGGATGTAAGAAATTAACAACTGCATGGCACTAGATGTAATTTCTAAAAAATAAGGGATTATTACCTCAGGAAGGTGATGGTAATTTACCCATTTTATGATCTCAAAATTTTTTTTTTACCCATTTTATAAATTATAAGAGGGTATTTATGCAATTTATAAAGTTTGATGAGTTTTCCTCTAAAATAGGTCAAATATCCATTCCCTGACCTTATTAATTTCTGTAAAAAATTCAAAATTAAAAACATTTTGGTCAATTTTCTGTTAAAAGTTACATTTTCACACGTTTAGCATATGCTTTTTATGCCTAGGCATAATCCTACTATACGTACACCACATCAAATCTGTTGCGTTTACGACTGTGCTTACTGCATCTTTATGCACAAAGAAAATATTAAATGGATTATTTTTTTCAATATAATTAATCTTATTACATTAATTAACATTTCCAAAATAACAAATAGATAAATTTTTATCCAAATATGTGAATGATTAGGCCGTTATAGAAAAATATATTACTATATGTTATACGTATGATTACATAATTAATAACTCAACAAGACGTGCACATTAATTAATATATATATTACTATATATTTCTTCCAAGATCAAAACTCTCTCTTTAAACAAACTTATAAACAAAGCACCCCTAAACAAATCAACAACCAAAAAATTATCCCCACAAACTTTCTTTTCCTACCAAATACATCCAAAAAAACAGAAACAACAATGGCGGCCGCTTCTCTAGCATCAAACACTTCACCGATCAAGACAATAGTGGTTTTAGTACAAGAAAACCGCTCATTCGACCACATGTTGGGTTGGATGAAAACCCTAAACCCAGAAATCAACGGCGTCACCGGATCCGAATCAAACCCGTTATCCACAGCAACCCCTGATTCGAACCGGATCTTCTTCGGAGACGGGTCGGTCTACGTTGACCCGGATCCGGGTCACTCAATCCAGGAGATTTACGAGCAGATATTCGGTGTCGAATGGACCCAAGAATCGGCCGCCGCCGGCGAGAAAAAGGAGCCCACCACCATGCAGGGTTTTGCTCAGGATGCAGAGAGGAAGGCCAGCGGGATGTCGACTGCGGTCATGAACGGGTTCAAACCCGAATCCGTACCCGTTTACAAAGAGCTGGTGTCGGAGTTCGCCGTCTGTGACCGGTGGTTCGCGGCGGTTCCGGCGTCGACGCAGCCGAACAGGCTGTTTGTGCATTCCGCCACGTCACACGGCGCCACGAGTAATAATAGAGAGCTGTTGCTAAAAGGGTACCCGCAGAAGACTATATTTGACTCGTTGGATGAATCGGGTCGGACCTTTGGGATTTACTATCAGTACCCTCCGGCAACACTTTTCTACAAGTAATGTTGGTTAATTAATCAATCGTTTTTTATTACTTAATTTTTATTTATTTATTTTGGGTAAATTGCGAAAACCCCTCTGAACTTAGGCTAAATAATGAAAAACACCCCCACTTATCCGTAATAGCCGAAATTCCCCTCTGATTAACCGTTGATCGAGTTTTTTTTAATAGAAAATGTCTACAATCTATTATACCTTATGATAAATAAGTGAGAACTAAAAGAAAATATCTGAAATTGTGTAAAGTGTATTCCCTGAAATTAAAAAAAAAATTAAAAAAAATCCATGAGAAGTCACACTTTAAGGGTTGGTGTAAGACGGAAACAAACTTCAAGGAGTTTTTGGTAATTACGAATATGTGGGGGTATTTTTCGTTATTTAGCCTAAATTCAGGGGGTTTTCGTAATTTATCCTTTAATTTTGGTTCTTGAAAAAAGTTATAGATTAATTAGCACGGTGTGAATTAACATGACATCTATAGTCTAGACTAGAATTCGTGGTGAAATTGGGGGCGGAGCAATTTTTCGATTTTGGAACAATAATTTTCGTTCGATCTGAATTCCAAAAACTTCAATTCCCGATTTTTTTCAGTTTTTATTTTATTTTATTTAAAATGTAATATATTTCATATTTTGATATACTAATATTTCGATTTCTTCCCAAAATACACGTGTACTTTTTTTTTATTATATCGAGTATTTGAGTTACTAAAATTGGAATTTTCCGAATTCGCCCGATTCCGTTCCGAAAATTTCCAGATTTGGAACATGTTTTTTCATTACAGTTTCCGAAGTTTTGAAATTCCAAATTCCGATTTTTTAAAAATTATTTTAGAATGAAATTGAAATTAGTTTTTCAACTTTGCAAAAAATCTGATTTTTTATTTTTCGAAAATGCTAATTACGATTCGATCAATCGAATTTTTATACAAACATCTTTTGCTTTTTCTTTTTTTCCTTGGCAGGAATTTGAGGCAACTAAAGTACTTAATAAACAACTTCCATCCATTCGATCTCGATTTCAAGAAACATTGCAAAGAGGGGAAATTACCAAATTACGTGGTTATCGAACAACGATATTTCGACCTAAAAATACTACCGGGAAACGACGACCACCCCTCTCACGACGTATACCAAGGCCAAAAATTCGTGAAAGAAGTGTACGAAGCATTAAGGTCAAGTCCCCAGTGGAATGAAATGCTATTCATTATTATTTACGACGAGCATGGCGGATTCTTTGACCATGTGCCAACTCCGGTCACCGGAGTTCCAAGCCCCGACGGAATAATCGGACCGGAGCCTTACAATTTCCAATTTGATCGGTTGGGAGTTAGGGTTCCGGCTATTATGATATCTCCTTGGATTGAGAAAGGAACTGGTGAGTATGGCTTTAATTTTCATTTCCTAATAATTTATAAGAACAAAAATCGATTAATTCGATAATCTTATTTGATGTGTGCAGTTTTGCATGGGCCTTCGGGGCCGTATCCGACATCGGAATTCGAGCACTCTTCGATAGCTGCAACGGTTAAAAAGATATTTAATTTGAAAGAGTTTTTAACAAAGAGGGATGCGTGGGCGGGGAGTTTCGAGACGGTGATTAGCAGAAACAGCCCACGGACCGATTGCCCGGGTAATTAATTAATCCCATATTCTTTATCTATTAATTTATGATCAACGACGAAATCTTATAAAACCAAAATCAATCGGCCAAGAAAATTAAAAGAATTTTGAAAATGTCGGAAACTGGAATTGTCAAAATGAAAAATATTGTTCCAATAATCGAAGAATTTCGGATCAAATCAGTGCAAAATCAAAAATTCCGTTCCAATTTCCTCCATTTTACATGCGTATATTTGTAATTAAATACTCGTGGAGATGCACGTTGTCGAATATAAGCACCTCCTTAATGTCGAACCACCCCCTAATCAAAAAATAAATAATTAAACATGTCTAATTAGTAATTTGCTAAGATTTGGCCAACTATCTAAGTCAAAAAAATATTAATATTGGAGACATTAATTTGATATATAATGTACATAATTAGCACCTTCAAAGTTTTACTATATGAACATAATAACTAACATCTCGGTTACCTAAATACACAATATATCAACATATATATATATATATATATATATATATATATATATATATATATATATATATATATATATATATATATATATATATAGTTGTTGCACTAATTAACTACAACCGATGACACAGAAACCCTACCCGAGCCGGTCAAAATGCGCGAGACCGAGGCCAAAGAAGATGCGAGACTCAGTGAGTTCCAAGAGGAGCTGGTGCATATGTCTGCGGTTCTGTGCGGGGACCACCGGGACGACACATTCCCGCGTAAACTAGTCGGAAAAATGAAAGTCTCCGACGGAGCCGATTACGCGAACAAGGCATTCGAGAGATTCTTGGATGAGTGTCGCAAATCGATGAGAAATGGTGCCGATGGAACCACTATTTGTATACCACCTGCAGAAAAGTATAGATCATTTGCCTCCAAGTTATGCTCTTGCATCGTTTGTGGCCACCATTGATTCTTCTAATTATTAATTAAGCTCCAATATATATTATTTGTTTTATGGGAAGTTGTCTCTAAGTATTGAAATGTTGTAGCATGTAATTTTGTATTGAACCATTAATTGATCAATTTGTAGTATGTAACAATTTTTATCGTTTAATTGTGATTTACTTTGCTAAATAGTAATTTTTTTTGACGTTTTGATTTATGAACATATATATATATAGGTCAAATTTCAAGAATACTTTTGTTTATTTGTCCTAAGAGTAAGAGATATATATAAAGTCTCTTTTAAAATTGATACATTTTTTTTTTCCTTTTTCTATTGAAGGTTTTGAAGTTTGAACACGCTTAGCATAATTTCTAGTCTACATCAGATTTTTTTACACATCCATTGTGCTAAAATATTTAATATCAATTAAAGAATGTTACATTTCCCAATTTTCCATTATTATTTAATTTGAGATTTGGTTCCAAACTTTTATTGACTTGAAAGAGGAGGAAAAAGATTTCAAATCTCACTTTGCCCCTTTATAAAGTGGGTGTTGAATTAAATTCAAAATATACTTTGTAGGGTAAATTACGGCTACCCCTGAGAAGATAACATCAAATTACGAAAAAAAAAATTATCGTGTTTGGTTAATTACAAATCTTCTTATATGTTTACAATTGTGGTGTCAAATTCAGTGAAATCTTGTCGATTATGTAGAAATTTCTCCAGTTTGTACTTATTTTACCCCATTCGAGCTCCACATTTTGAAACAAGATGATCATAAGATGTGTTTCTTGGCTCGTAAATATTCAACTCTGGTCCATTACAAATTGCATTTTTACACAAAACGAGTACAAAGTAGAGAAACATTTCCATCGAATATACAAAATTCTGTTTAATTTGACATCATAAGAGTGGACGTGCAAAAAAAATCATAATTAAAGGGGACGGTTATAATTACCCAAACATAATGATTTTTTTTTTTTTCGTACTTTGACCTTACTTGAGGAGGTGGCAATAATTTATCCCATTTTGTATCAAGTAAAACTTATCTTAAAAGAAAAAGTAAATATTATCCAAAAATGAAATTTTAATATCGGTTAAAGGAAATATTACTATAAACAAGATTAATTATCACTTTCTTAAGAAATAAAATCTTTCCCTTTACAAAAGAAGAAAGAAAGAAAGAAAGAAAGAATAAAAAATTAAAACACGCTTTATAAACAAGCTTATATATAAGCCAAAACAAAATCATCTCCCACAACACTTTCTTCATACAAAAAAAAAAGTAATACAGAAATGGCTTCTCTAACATCAAACACCTCACCGATCAAGACAATAGTGGTTTTAGTACAAGAAAACCGCTCATTCGATCATATGTTGGGTTGGATGAAAACCCTAAACCCAGAAATCAACGGCGTCACCGGATCCGAATCAAACCCGTTATCCACAGCAAACCCCGATTCGAACCGGATCTTCTTCGGAGACGGGTCGGTCTACGTGGACCCGGATCCGGGTCACTCAATCCAGGAGATTTACGAGCAGATATTCGGTGTGCAGTGGAGCCAAGAATCATCCGCCGCCGGCGAGAAAAAGGAGCCCACCATGCAAGGGTTTGCTCAGGATGCCGAAAGGAAGACACGTGGCATGTCGAGTGCAGTCATGAACGGTTTCAAACCCGAATCCGTACCCGTTTACAAGGAGCTGGTGTCGGAGTTTGCCGTCTGCGACCGGTGGTTCGCGGCGGTTCCGGCGTCGACGCAGCCGAACAGGCTGTTTGTGCATTCTGCCACGTCACACGGCGCCACGAGTAATAATAGGGAGCTGCTGCTAAAAGGGTACCCGCAGAAAACTATATTTGACTCGTTAGATGAATCGGGTCGGACCTTTGGGATTTACTGGCAGAATATCCCAGCTACACTTTTCTACAAG